ATAATTGATTATGTATTAGGATTAGAATCAGAAGGTGTGTATATAGTATATTAGATCATGCAAAAGAATAATAAAAATAAAATACATATAATTAAATAAATAAGGTTTTTTATTACAAATTTTTATGCGAAATTAGACTTTTATTAATTTTATAAATATTTTACATTTTAAATATTAATTCTAAGTTTTAAACCAATGAGTAAATAAGTGGGTGGTTGTTTTTAACTAACGGTGAGTTTGAAACTTCGTCTTCCCAATTTACTTCTTCCAAAATTCCATCTTCAGCATTCTTACTGCCAGCAGAAGTCCATGAATCGACGGTGTCTGCTGAAGTTTCACTCCACATGTCTTCTTCGTCAGTATTGTGACGACTACTCAGGGGCGTACCGCCAGTAAATTAAAAGCTAGTGGTGGTTCAGCATTACTACTCGCATGTCGAGATGCCCGAGTAGCTGCTTCTTTACGTAAATTTTGTGACATTTTTGAAGTAGTTATGAGTAAAAATACATAAATTAAATTTTAAATAATTGATTCGAATAATTTTATTGCTCAGGGAGTGGTTGGTTTTAGCTAGAAAGTAGAATAGTCAGTCAGTTTAATTCCTATAAAAGTGTATATACAAGATCTCAAACCTACCATGAATTAGACCCGGCTATAAATCATGAAATTCTTTTAAATATAAAGTTGTAGTGTCTTAAATTTTTTTTTACAAAAAAAATTTCAAATGTGTACATATTAAACCTGGAATCTACTAAAAGGTGAAATGAAACAGACTTGAGTCTTGTATACAGTAAATTCTCTTTATACCGAATCTCTCTATAATGAAAAGTATGGTTTCTTAAAAAAACAGTAATTTTATATAGCGAACTTGTTTTAACAGCCAGAACCAACAGTTCATTATATATACGCACTACATATATTATTTGTTATACGTATATACATATATATACTATAATTAGTATATATGTATAATAACTGATCCGATTTGTGATTAGCTAAGTATTTGATATCAAGTTTGTATT